TGACTAGTATGCTATCACATGCATAAACCACAATGTTTACCCTTTAACTAGCTGATGGAAAGTTGAGTTGTTTCCAGCTTTTGAGGATTATGAATAAAGTTTTGGTTAACGTTTGTATGCATGTCTCTGTGTGGATATATAATTTTTCACACGTCTTGTGTAAATACCCAGGCATGGAATTGCTATGTTATGTGGTAAGTGCACATTTAAATTTATAAAAAACTGCTGTGGTCTGTCACTTTGACTTTCTGTGTAACTTTTAATTATTAGACAAATTACCTAACCTCGTGGAACATCAGTTATTAATCCTCAAACGTGGGTGATACAATTACCTATGTTGCAGTTTGTCATAAAGATTGTACGTATAATTTAAGTGCATGTTCCCCACACCTTGGGTGTTGCTGTTACTGCTATTAAATGAACAACTTTTGCTAAAAGGAAAAGGCTACAGCCTGGAAAACAGATGGCATCACACTATAGATATTTTAGGATTCATTAGGAGTTAATGTGTTTCTTCGGGGGTTGTAAATATGTCCCCCAGAGACAAACGAGTTTCCTTGGGCTCTAGTGTCTATGATGTGTGAGTTTTTAAAATACTGCTTTTCTTACACTTTACCCCAGATTAGCATTTTGTACTTAATTAAGGTCATGTCTTTTATATGTCACTGAGAAATGCTATTGTCACATAAATTAAGATGATAATAACGTGTTACAACTTATGTAATAAGATTTATCTAGGTAAGGGCCCATTTTAACTTAATAACTTTTGAAGGATTGATATTTTTCTATAGCTCCACTTAAGAAGATATTCTTAAATGCATTGACAGGTTTTTAACCGCTATTTTAAGACTGTTTTCACTCAGTTTACTGGCAGGTATTTAATCTGCTAAAAAACGTTACTCACTTAATTAGGTTGCTCTGACATCTGCTGGTAAGACAGTAAACTCCATAAAAATCGCGTTTTATAAATTTCAGTAGAATCAAATCGTTTAATTTAGTCTTTAAACCTTGTATTTGCATTCCTGGTTTAACAAATTACCGGCTGTACCTGATGATTTCTGGCTTATAGTTCAATTTGATTCAAGCGGTTTGTTAGCCTGTTGCAATTTACTTTGAGATCTTCCTCAAGGCCAGTGGTAACAGAAGCTTGGTTGAGAAGTATAACGTCTTTTAAATCCTAACCTCTTCCAGTCAGTGTTTATTACTGAATAATGACATCGTCAGCTTCTTTTTCATCACATCATCATCATTTTGTCTTTTGGTCCTAAAGCAGTACAACAGTAGTGATGTTTATTAAGTTAGTTTTCACCTTGAGAAAAGACTCCTGGGGAGATAGGCTTAGGGTGTAGGGAAGGCTGTAAGCTCCAGGAGGGCTAAATTCTAAGGGATTATTTTTTTCCTTGCCCGGAAGTATAACATGGCTCCTTTGAAACCTACCAATTCTAACACTGTTTAAGGGTTACAGAATTTTACAAATGGAAAGAAATTTACTAGTCATTTAGTTCATCTAGTTCATCCCCCTCTTGCATATGTGGAAATTAAGACTCCCCAAAATATACGTACCTCATTACCTAACTGATATGAGAAAAATGTTTCCTAATTCTCTCATTCCCGGATTCTTTCCTATATACATTGTCTTCACTAGCTGTTTATTAGGTTTATTGCTTAAGACTCACAGACGTAGAAAACAAACCTATGGTTACCAGGAGGAAAAGGGGTAGGGGTTGGAGAGATAAAGCGGGAGTTCAGGATATGCAGATATTAACTACTATACACAAAATAGATAAACAAGGTCCTACTGTACAGCACAGGGAGCTTTATTTCTTACCTTGTAAGAACCTATAATGAAATAGAATGTGAAAAGGATAAATGAATGACTATGCTATACACCAGAAAATAACACAACATTTAAATAGACTATAGTTCAATAAAAAAATTATTTATTGTTTAAACCAAAAATACTTGAAAGATATACAAATATATGAAAATTTGTATTTTGCTTCCTGTAACTTAACCATTCTGACTTTCTCTAACTGGAGATGTGTTATGAAGTTACACTATATTATGCAATATTGTTCTGTAGTGCTTCAGAAATATGTATTTATCCATAGGTCCTTCCTAGAAACTGAAGAGCCATTGTCTACTTCTTCAGATATGAAAATAGAAAGAGGCAGGTGAATCAGGGGAAAAAATAGTCAGAAATAAACATTAACCAGGGATATTTCTGGCTCTTTGGTCAGATTTGGGGTCACAGAATTATGCACCAGATGTCTCAGTAGTAATGTAAACATGTTTCCCCCTTTAATTTTCTGTTCTAATAGGCACTGATATATAAGATAGAACTTCAGCAATGAAACTTGCATTGTGAATGTGTTAGTTATTTAGATAAATTACCAATCAAATATTCTATATGTAATGCCATGCACGTTTTTACCCAACTGCAGTGCTATTGGCTTTTGGGGACAGTGAATTCGTTGTGGGAGGGGGAAGGCTGCAGCATCTTACTACACGCCAGTAGACTGCTCCCATTTATTAACAACCAGGTCTCCAAACATTGCTGATGACCCCCGGAGGGGTGGAAATCAGCTGAAGTGAAGAACCACTGCTGTAAATTGAAGCTGCTTCCTTCAGATTTCTTTTTTTTTTTAACTTAAAGTATTTCGATGAAAAATTTGATTCTTTCTCTTTTCCAGTAAAAGAAATATTGACATATGAAAAGAGAAATTGCCTCAAGTCATCTCTAGCTTAAATACTTCATTTACATACTTCATTCTGAGCCAGAGCTAATAAAGAGGGTTCCTTAAATTGTTTTCAGTACTTGTATATTTATTCTCATTTCTTTTTATGCTCTAAGGTATAATTTTGACACAGCTACTAATTCATAACCAAGTTTCTTTCACTTCTGGCTGAGCCGCTCTCTCTTTATCTGTGATGGCTTTTTAAAAATTCTTTCATTTTCCTGATGCTACAAAGTTCTTCATTTACATTGCACCCTTTGAAACCAAAGGCAACTGGTGAAGTTTTAGGGCAGGTATTTTCAACCCCCTTCTGCAGGTAAGGAAATTCAGTGGAGCCAGGACTCAATGCATGTTTCTAATGTAGCAAATGTTCTTTGTGTTGTATCCACAATAAATATATTTTTTGAAAACATTTGAGCTTCATATTGAGAAAGCCTTCCTGGAAGGAGGGGCGGAGGAAGAGGGAGAGAGTTAGGGGAACCCTAGCAGAACACTAAAAACTGGTTTATGAAATAGCATGGGGTAGAGGATGATCAGATCTCACCATGTAAGCCCTTGTAGCGTCCAGTGGGGTTTGGCACCTCCTGTTCCTCCTCCATCACAGCACCGTCCTCCATTCCACCCCCTTCCTTCCCACTCTACCTCTTACCCTCCCCTCTGCCACAAGTGCACGTAGCTGTGCGCGCACACACACACTCATCCACTCCGGATCTTGAGGCCAAAGCCCTAGGTCTTTGTAAGATGAACAAGTGTGACAATTTTGTTTGTTGTTGTTGCTTCCAAGTTTTTTATTCCCCGGGACCAGCAAAGAGCCAGCAATTCATTGCCTGTACTCCAACCTGGGAGCAGAGAGTTTCTGGAAGCACTTCAAAAGCTTCCTGAAGCTCACATTGCCCTGGAATCTTTCATTTGACAGTTGATTGCCTGTGTTTTCAGTCTTCTCAACATGGAGTTCTCAACATAATCCAAGTCCTTTCAAATCCTGCAGCGTTTGAGTATTTGGTACAAAGGAGAAGAAATTAAGAAAATTTTAAATAATATGCAATGTTGGGAAGTCTGATGGGAAGCAGGTGCCCTCAGATGTGGTCACACTGTAGCTATGCTGATGCCTCTGGAGGCACAGAGCACTATGTATTAAACCCCCTCAAATATGAACGCTAGGTCCAGGTACTGGACTTCCTGGACTTGACTTCAAAGAAATCATTATAGAGAAGCTCAAAGATGTCAGTTCATGGCAAGGACACTTACCCAAATGTTCTTATAATAGTCATGAATTATCAAAGTGGTAATATGATTGACTATATAAACTATGGCTTATCCATCTAATGAGATACCAAACAAATCATGCTATTAAAATATATGCCTAGAAAAGTCAGGAGGAATAGACACTAAAATGCTTAGCCATTGTTAATGTGGTGGTGGGGCTTTTAATTTTTTCTTTGTACCGTTCTGAATATGCCAAAATTGCTGGAATGAATATGTACCATTCTAATAACAAGAAAAATGGCGGAAATAAAGAAAATGAGATGAAAATTGCCCAGGTTAAGTAGAAACATTGTTATGGAGAAACAACTTCCCAAATACCTCACTTGGTGGGTCCAAAAACCTTTCTAATACTTGCAAGGTGAGCTGTAGAAGAATTAACTGCGCTATGATCAATGACACGCCCCAACAGCTTCCTTTATGGACCATTTAAAATGGCCAAGGCGTTGTGCTATGTTTATACAAGTGATCTCCTCTAGTCCTTAAAACAAATCCCTATATAGACATTATTCTCATTTTTGTAGTTGAGGAAACTGAAGCTCCAAGAGGTTAAGCAAATATGAGATCCAGGAAGGATGTGGGCCCAGGTACTCTACCGCACACTTAACCCCTAAGCTACATCACTCTTCTTACGCAGTTTTAAGCCTGAGCGTCAACCCTTCTCCAGATCATCTGAAGCAAGAATAAGAGGTGTGCAGGGGAAAAGAGTTTTAGTAGAAGTCTAGCCCCAAGCAATGCAAGAGTCTTTGTAACACAGATTGAACATCGTTGTTCTATAATGTCTGAAAAATATCATGAGCAACTTAAGTGATGCTGAAGACAAGTCTAAGAGCACGAGATGAGGAATAAAATCTGAGAATATTTTCCCACTGGAAAATTCCCCCACGGGTAATGTAGCGAATACCTCTACCTTACTCTGAGCAATATATTAGAATATTTGTCAATCTGTGTAAATACTGAACCCCAGAGCAAGTGTCTTCTTAATTAATATAGAACACCTGGATGGTAAACATTTATTTTATTTATCTGTCAGCAGACTCTCAAGAGGCAAAAAAAATCACTACCCAGGTTGGACAAAGCAGATAATGAACACTATAGATTTTCAGTGAGGTTCTGAGTTCTACTGGTTTTCTCTGATTGCAGTAAGACACGTAATACACACCAATGTAAAGGAACAACAGACCCCGAGCTAACTGCACAGAGACCTCATTGCTGGAACATTAACCATGATTGTTTTCATATTTTCACCGCTTTGCTACTGTGACAATATAATGGCATAGTGGGAGCAGGAGGGGGAATAGGAAGAGGGAAAGGTGACAGACAGAGGCCTAATTAAGTATTCCTTGCCACCAGCAGTGAACAAGGACGAAACACAGACACTGTGTGGATCAGATACTAATTCATATAACAGAGTGGGCAACTTAACCATTAACTGGTGCACACTCCCTGTGGAATTCCTCTGCTATGACTCAGGTCCCTTATTTTTTCCAGTATCTATGTAAGTGACTGAAATATCAGCATGAGCTTTGGATCTTTTTGGGGGGTTGAGGGGAGAAGTTCTGAATGCAAGAGATTGACTTTGTGTGTAATACACACAACCCTTTAGTATTCACGAGATAACCTATGCTTTGTAACAATAAAGATCCTTTGATACTAAGGGTTTTAATTTCTGCCAGTCCCTATTTAACCACTTTTTCAGAAAGGTTACTTTATATGTGTTTCTTAAACAATACATATTTTGTGTAAAATACAAGAATTAATGTACAATCTCAAAGTCAGATTCAGTGACAAAGTGCATGACCTGAATCTAGTAACACATTTACTCCTTGTTGCATATAAGAAACATAGGCTGTACTTTTTTGCGATCCATGCAGTAAATGTTCACAAAAGTTAAGCAAACAACTAGACATCCTTCAGCTACTAAAATTACCCCTCCCAGTCACAACAGACTTATCAACAGAAATAAAAGCACCGATGGCTGCATAAAAACCATGCCAAGATGAGTTAGTCCTGGAACAGGATGGCTGGAAGGACCGCAAGGGAAGCAATGACGACTCGTTGACACAAATTTCCCATTTGCTTTTATATGGGATTGAGACTATTCTCTCTTCACACGGTTTTTGCCGACACCGCAGGCTTTTGCTAAAGAGGCTTCAAATGAAAACAACCATCCTTTAGTGAAAAAGCTGAGAAATGATTCTCTGGAGTTTCTGATCATGGAAACAGCTTGAGGTAAGTGCCAGGAGTCAAAAAATTGTAGACCGGTCTCAGAACATAGACAATAAAATTGCCAACAAAGGGATTATATCCGTGGACGAGAACTCCTCACAAGAAGATCTGTCTGGATAATACCAGCTTCGTGGTTTTTGACGTTCACATGAATTTTACATCCTAGAAGCACTATGCATTTTTTTTCCCTTTGTAGAGACTTCTAGGGTGGAAAAAAAAGTTCGTGATGTTGCTTTAAAACACCAGAAAACAAAAAACCGACCATAGCACGAAGAAGCTACTCAAATACTAAGCAGTTCTGAGGTTCGCTTTTGTTTGTTTTGCTTTCACATTTTACTCTTGTGGTTGGCGTACGGGAAACCAAACTGAGAAATCATAATATTGGAGTACTTTAAGGGCATGCCGTCATAGATAGCAGCAAGCTTATTGATGCAGTAAGACCTCTGCAGGAAGTGCTCAGCTCGGTGCCACATTCCGGAATAGCCACCGTTGGTTTCTTTTTCTAAACTGCCCATGTTTACAGGCTTCACAAATACCCCTGAAGGCTTCCCATTGTGCTTGGCAATGATGAAATTCATGGCAATATCATCACAGTTTTGCATTTCGTCTATCAAAGCATGGATGACTGCAGGCTGTCTCTGAAAGAGCTCAAGGTATTTGCTGCTGAAGAATGAGGCTCCAATGAGCACCAGAGAGTAGTGGTCACCAGTTCCAGAGCCTGGTGTTTGCAGTTCAAAACCTCCATAACTGTAGACACCTGAGGAGGAAGAGACATGCTTTCTAGGAACAAATCCTACAATCTGATCAGGAAATTGCTGAAAAGACAGAAAAAGAACAACTGAGTGTGGCATTTCTTTAGAGCTGACATGGTGAAAAAGACAATGATTTATCACAGAAAGAACCAAACTGATTTGCCAACATTATTTTATTCCTGGCTTCTACGTCTCGATTTCTCTTAACTCCAGGCAACTTCATAAATCTACATCTTAGTAAGTTTAAAGGTCAAATGTCACCATAACCTAAATCTGTAACAAAATTTCTAACCTCACAAATACTCTCCTAATTCAAACCTTATCTGATATTAATAAATTATTACCACCAGAGAGCCTGGTTTTTCCAAGTTTGCTGCAAGAGCAATTGACTCTGTGAGGTGGGGGTCATGGGCATGGGCAAAGGCATAGATAGATACGTGTCTGCTGTAATTTGCTGGCCTCTGTTCTCCAAATCACTGCCCCCTGCTGGGCACTGATGGCACTGAACTTTAGGAGTCAGATCATCTTGCACAATAGATTGAAACCATTCTTGGTATTTTTATAAAATATCAAATCCTAAAATCGTATTTATCCATCTTCAATTGTGGTTTACTTGGATTGTTCTAATTAACCATAGGTCTCATTATTTCCTCCCACACTGACATTTTCAGTAAATTGATTTTTTCACCTGAAATAGAAATCTCATAGCTGGAGTATGGCATAAGAATTTTCTGTCTATAATTTACAGGGCTGGAAAAATTGCTGATATGGAAAAAATGTGTTGATCAGAACACTAGGCATGAAATTAAAAAGTGGAGTTTTGAGAAGGCTGGTATCTGCAGAGTTCTGTGACCACTTATCATTAATATCTAAGGTTGTTACATCCCAAGTCACTTATTCAAGAGAGTTACCACCGTGCAAGTGAGACCATTTACTGGGTACACAGTGTTGAATTTTTTTTAATGGTTAAATTATTTGACAGGGTTTCAGAGTATTTGTATGCAGGTCTGGTTTCAGGTAATTGTAGTGTAATTTGTAAAAGCCAGCTACTAACACATATTCACTAGGAAAGAGGTGTTTTTATAGAATACCAAGCAATTTATACCTGTTTATCCCAGCTGGGATTTAGGAGAGAAAAAACCTGCCCCCACAATGGTGCATGTAGAATTATTATTAATATTATCAATTTTTAAACAATAGTCTCAGAATCAGAGTTAAGTTCTGTGGATGTAATAAAAGCTTTCTTTCAAAGAAAGTTCTAGACAATATTAATATGGAAATGCACTTCTCATTTGAGATACACAGGTCTACTACCTTGCAGAAAGCATCACTGGATTCTAGTCTCTGCTGTACCACACACCAGATCGCTTCCTCCCCGCCGTACCACACACCAGATCGCTTCCTCACTGTTCTTTGGGAGACAATTCTAGCTCTTCTCCCAACGTACCAAATACAAATCAAATATTGATAAAAGATACTGTAACTTTCAGGTTAGCTTAAGTGAGCTCAGGAGATCTGATTACTTCATGACAAATTAATTTGCCTTTTAGATAAATATTACCTACACTGCTTTGAGTGACTACCACATTAAACCATGCTGCCCTGGTTCAACACTAGATCAGACTTTATACTGATGATTTCATGAAGGACATGGCAACATTACCTGCCAAACGGAGAAAGCAAAAACGAGGTCTTGGGCGCTAATTAGCATGTCGTCATCTATCATTAACACCGCTGAAATGAGAGGAAAACAATTTAAATGAAACAGTGTGGAAATAAAAGCAAAACTAGTGAGATACAAAACAGATCATTCAAATGAGAGTATTTTCTGAATGAAATCAGTAAATAAAAATGGTGTTATTGGACAGATTTGTCTAGCAGAAAAAGTTTCTGTTTGAATTATAATTGATTTTTTAACCTTCTGAGGGGGAAAGTATCCTGTCATTATCAACCATTATGCTAGAAATTAATGAACCTATAAATAAATAAAACCGACGTCCTTTTAAGTAAATTATAATCTCGTGTAACTGCTATGAATGGGAGGAAAAGGAGGTGGTAAAAAATACACTAAGCATAAGTTAAATGGCATTTTACTGCCTTCTGTGACGCAGTAATGTGTAATCACAGCATATCTCTTTCTCAGTATTAACCTCTTTGTCTTTGTTGCAAGATGTGCGTGATTTCTTCCCCAGGTGACTGCTTCTTGACATCTCAGAAACTGCCCTTTAAGTTTTTCAAAATGTTTTCTGATTAAAATTCCCTATTTTCCCAATTGTGATAAAATTTCCCTGTTTTCTCTGGACAGTTGAGACAAGCAGAAGGCCAAAAAGCCACACACTCGCCCCCAGCTCTGGTTCGCTGCAACCCTACCAGGCTAAGAACCCAGCTGTAACTCACCATTGGTTTCCAGTTCAGGGAAGACCTGGAGTCGATTTCTCACCCTGTTTGTTGTCTGTAATTTGAAGATCACCGGGACCGGGTGAGGCCCTAGGGAATTCCACAACTCATCTGGGCCCTTCTCCCCAACATTGTTCCACACTACAATCACTTTGTGCAGATATGGTATCGCCTGATAATGATTTAAAAGTCTAAATAAGAGGTCTGTTCTGTTGTATGTCTGCATTATGAGAGTAAAGGAGTCCAGGGTGGACTTGCCCTGGGATTTGATTTCCCTGCGCAAAGCGAGCATCTTGTCTTCTTTGATGTTAGGAAGCAAAGTGGTCAGAGCCCCCGCTACCAGCAGTAACACGAGGATCACCACCAATGAGAAACGGAGCACGCGAATCCCCATCACTCTTCCAGGGAGTTTGCCGATGTGGCAACACCTGTGGCAGAAATGGAAAGAAAATGCAGAATCTTGGCATTCTTACCAGTTACCATGCTTTTGTTTTGCCTTCTTAAGGAGAGAGGTTAATCTTCTTTTAGTTGATTCAAGTTCAGTTCTCCCTGCCACTTTGGTAAGGTGATGTGCGCTAAGATAAAAAATACAGTGAGGAAACCTTCCCTTCTGGGCCTGCTTGCTTTGCAGCTGCAGACGAAAACTCACCTACCCACTAAACAGGAAGGATTAAATAGTGTATTTTAAATTTTGCCCTCATTTCACCAATAAAAATTTGGGACTCAGATTATTTATTCAAAAAGGGTTATATTTGTCCTTGCAGTATACTAGATTCTTTAAATAGCTTTACTGAGATATCACTGACACATAAAAATTGTATATATTTAAGGGGTAAAACGATGTTCTGACATTTGTATACTTTAGTATACCAACTTTAAATTTAATTTTTGGTAGCAAACTTTTTTCCAAGTAAAATCATATGCAGAACCCTAATATACACGAGACAGGTGACAGTCGCAGCAGAGCAGCAGCAAGCAATTATAGTGGGTTTATTACTGTGAGGCCCTGTACTATGTGCTCTGCATGTCACAGTATGTACTTACTTACTCAATAGATTAAACATGTAATTACTGAGCACTTACTATCCCAGGCACTGTTCAGGTTCTGTGAATACAGCAATGAATCAGATAGATAAATCCTCTGCTGCTAGTAGCAGAGGAAATAGTAGCGAGAGACAGACAACAAAGTAAATAAACTTAAAGCTAATTTAGGATAGAGATAATGAAGAAAGTAAACGAGAATGACATAAACTAGGGTGGGATTATGGGGGGGTGCTGTCCTGAGTAAGGAGGATGGAGTTTATTCTATGTGACTAAGTGCGATGAGAAGCCATTGGAGGGTTTTGATCAGGGGAATGACAGAATCTTGTTTATCTTGTTTACTATTATTATTCCCATTATTCCCATTTAATAGTTTGGATGCTTTCAGAGGTCAAAGAAATTTTCTCAGGATCACTAAGCAACTTAAGTAATGGATCTAGGGTTTATTCCCAGGAAAAACTGCTCCCAGAGCCCAGGCTGCTCATCACTGTGGGCTGGGGAGGGCACTGCCAGGTGCAAATCTAGTTGCACGGAGGTAGGCTCTTGAGCCTCCCCAGTGTCCTCTCCCACAGAACACAGGGATCACAGAACACGAGGCACTGTAATCGGCTGTATGTTTTCCTGTCCCTCACTGTCCCTAAGGCATCTGCTTGGGCTGGCGACAGAATACCAGGTGAGCAACTACTGATGAACGTGGCCTGGATATTCATTGGTCAAAATTTTTTGTCTGATCAAAATTCTCAGTCATATTCTTCTGTATAATAACACAGGCAACTATGCTGAAAATCTTGTAATAACCTTCAATGCAAAAGAATATGAAAACGAATATATGTGTGCGTATGCATGACTGGGACATTGGGCTGTACACCAGAAACTGACACATTGTAATTGATTGTATTTCAATTAAAAAAAAAACCCAAATCTCAGTCATAAATGCCAGGAAAGGTTAAATCCCATACAGCTTTACAGAGACCCAGGGCTCTGATTTCTTGGCTTCCAATACAGTTTCATTATCACCCCTACTGCCTCCCCCTTCTGGAGTACTGCTGGCTTTCAATTGTTGTGGTTTTTTTTTATAAATTGTTCTGCTGTTTCGGTTTTTGATCTTCTTGCTTTACTTGCTCCTGCGCGAGCCTGCACAGGCTTTCTAGGGATGTTCTTGTTCTGTGCTCTGGCAGCCAGCCTTCTTACATGTCTCAGCATTCTCTTTGGACTACGCTATTGCTCCATTCAAGTACAGAAGCCTGACTTAGGAACAGATGGAAAACAAAAACCAACCAGGAGTTTCTAAACATCTAAAAAATACCTTTAAAGAAAAAAAAAAAGATCTCTTAGAACCAGGAAGAATGAGGTATTATTCTGCTTGATGACTTTAGTTGATGCAGTCTATCCTCTCTATCTTTGATACAATTTTTCTTCTCAGGCTATACAGCAAATACACTCGTATCTATTCCTTAACACAGACAAGCGTGGTAAAGCTGGAAGAGACTTCTTTTGCTAACTCATAGCTGTGGCGTGCAAACTGCACAAGGCCACCGTCACTGTTCTTCCTTGTTCGCCACTGCTTCTGTACGGTTTATTTTGGGTTGACTCCACCTTCACGGAGAAGTGCACCGCGTGTGTGTAAGCTCTTGATCGGGCACCCGCGGTTTAAGCTGGGCGTTTGCAGCTAGGCCTAAGACTGGAATCTAAACCTCATCTAACAGATTAGATTCCAAGCGAAATTTGGCATTTTCCCTATGCAAATGGTGTCCAGTCAATCTTCCGTTTTTTCATCGAGGAGCCTTGGCAGTGATGGAGCTAAAGTGACGAACACATTCCCCACTGACGATCACGTGTTTCATGCTGTGAGGTGTGTAATGCAGCTGCAGAAACAGTTCTCCTCTATACAGCTCAGCAGGGACACAGAGAGACCAGACAGGCTGTGCCTTCGACACTTCCCTCTGAAGTTTACCAGAGCGGGGACTGGAGAACTGCAGGGTGGGGAGGGCATGGTCAGTCCGCAATGGCACCTGAGGGCACGCTGAGGCACGTGCAGGCCAAGGAAGGGCTT